CTCTTTTAATACAATGCCCTTAAGGCCATCTGGACCGGTGGCTTTGTGTGTTTTAATTCTACGGAGCACTTTGGTAACCTCCCTTACCTCTATTCTCATAGGTTTAGATTCAATGAGAGTATCATTATTCACATTATTAACATCTATATTATTATCAAATCATGAATAAAAAACATTTAAATTATTTACAAATGTATGGGGGTCATCATCAGCCAGTTGTTTTTGTTTCTGTTGTCTACCCATCATTATGTTTAGTCCCCTCCATGCATCTCTGATATTACCACTTGTAAATTTCTTCTCAACTTTCCCTTTATAATGTATTTGCGTCTCCTTTATCTTACGTTTGACCTCTTTATTTAGCTCTTTTACTTTGTGTGTCTCATTCCTTAAAAAAGCATTTCTCTTCTCATTTAAAGATTGTTAAAGATCTTTGTTAATCCAAGGTTTGTTGTTTGGAAATACTCTAACGTTTTTAGTTTGGACCACAGTTTCTGCACAAAAGTTAATATAACCAGTAATCGTGTCATTCAACAACTCATGATCATTGCAACAATTAAATCATTAAAATCATTTTAAAAATTAAAAAATTTGTCCCAGGCACATAGACCAGAATAACAGTGATTTGTCCGAACTCTCGAGGCAAATAGTGTGGTCTGAATGAAACAGATAATAATTCGTAGTCGGCTGAACAATAGGTTCCACGTACTGTGGTATTGGTTGCCCAGCTGTCGTTGACAAACATACACAGTCCTCCTCCAATGCTTTTAAATTATTTCTGGCTGTCACGGTCCAGTCGAATTAATGAATATCCCTCAAAGTTTATCTCCTCCGTTAGCCATGTTTCAGTAATGCAAAGCAAGTTCGTTCTCTTGAAGTCTTGATTATATCTCATTAGTGCTGCAAGTTCAGACATCTTGTTTTTAAGTGAACGGGCATTAATTAGAGTTATTGTGGGCAAAGGAAAGCGGCTGCCTCGTTGTTTAAGTCAATTCCGAATTCCCCCTCTAGTACCTCTCTTTCTCCTTTTCCTCTTCCTGTACATTGTTTGTGGAGAGTAAATAATTTCAAGAGGAACATCACAAGGAGGACTCGGTGGAACTTTCATGTTATACCGGAGACTTAGTAAATCCTCGCGGCTGTAAGTAATTTTACTCATTAGTCCATTGTTTCTCAAACTTCCCAACTCCACTTCGGCTTCCAGTGCAATAACTCGATCGACGACGCATTTTAGACTCCAAATCCAAACCAAAATAAATGTAAAAGTCATATCTCTAAAAATCTAAGAGTAAAATAACATCAGAAATAAAATATAAGACAACTATAAGACAAAACAAACAAACTCAAGCACACCAGCGTCTGGGTCAGCACTTGCGCATGCGCCCCAAAATCAAATTGGGGGCGATTTTATATTTATATTTTATATTTATATTGGAATTTTATAATCGCAAAATATGGATAGGAAAGCGGACAAGCAGGTTGGAGAGGTTGACTGTCGATATAACGGACCTGTTCAAAAGCATGTTTCAATGACTCGTCCTGAGACTGCTCCTGAGGAAAATCATCGCGTCCTGAGAGGATCAGCCTCTCGATTTCACTCCGTTCCCCTGGTACAGATCTCAGTGGTCCCAGTTCAGCTTCTCCCACCTGCACGAGCGCCCCCCTTCCCTGCTTTTTCTTTTCCCAAGAGACATCCGCACACAAGCATCCCAATAATTCCTTAAAAGCAGGCCAGTTCGTACCCAGAATTAGCGGATGTCGGAGGTGCGGGTTAACTGCGACCTCCACACTATGATTTTGTCCCCTAAATTGAATAACGGCGGACATTAAAGGATATTCCACCACGTCCCCGTGCACACACCATACCTGAACCAAGCGGCCTGTATCCAATACCTCGGATTGAATCAGGCTTTGATGGATAGAGGTTTGGTTACATCCCGAATCCACCAGAGCCTGATAGGTACCCCCCTTAATACTCACAGGTATTTGGTACCAGCCAGCCTGACCGGGGGCCCAGACCTTCCCACCGCCCTAGTGGCGGGTAATGGGTCAAATGATTGGCGTGGAGAAAGCGGGGAACCAGACGCGGCATCGGTCCCAGCCGTGGTCAGCCGACCCTGGGCGGAGCTCTCGGGCCAGTAGCGTACTCCAGTCCGGCCCCACCCCGCCCTCGGGGCGGGACTCGCGGAGGACCTGGAGGACGGGACCTGGGAAGAGGGACAGGTCGAGAGGCAGAGAGAGAGGAAGAAAATAAAGGGGAAGAGAGAGAGACAGCTGGAAGGGATTCGCCGACCCCAGGGCATGCCACCATCTGATCCTCCGCCAATTGGATGGCTCAGTCCAGCGACGTCGGTCGGTGGCACTGGACCCACTCTGCCGTCTTCTTTGGCAGCCGAGTGATGAAATGCTCCAGTACCACTACGATGATGTAGTCGACATCGCTTCCCTCAGCCAGTAGCCACTTGCGACATGAGTCCCGGAGCCGTTGGGCCAGCACGAAGGGTCGGCCACTCTCGCCCAGGTCCAGCGAACGGAATCGCTGGCGATGTTGCTCTGGGCTTTGGCCGACCCGCTGGATGATGGCCCTTTTGAGATCATCAAAGACCAGGAGGTTCCGCACGGGCAGTTGCTGAGCAGCCACCTGCGCTTCCCCCGATAATAGGGGTATCAGGCGCACAGGCCATTGCAAGCCACCCACCGGCTTCCGCTGTTTTCTCGAACAGATCCAGGAAGGCTTCTGTGTCATCCTGAGCCCCCATCTTGTTCAGCGGCAGGTGGGGAGCCGGGGTCTGCTGCGTGGCGGCTTCTGCCCGAACCTCTCGCGGTCCTCCTGTTGCGCCTGGACGATGATCTGGAAGTGTCTCCTGATCAGTCCGCATGTCCAGTAACGCTTGATGTTACTCTTGATGGAGGACCGCGAGGGATGAAATGACATCCGCAAATGGCGTACTTGTCGGAGTTTGCATGATGGCGGCGGCTCTCCTGCTTCCTTCCCGGGTTTCGGCACCAGTCTAACAATGTCAATGTCTTGAGAAGGAAGAGGACGGGGTCAGCTTGACTGCTGCTGGGGTTTTTATTCAGCTTCAAACAAAGTAAAACAGAACGTCGCACTACCAGCGCTCAGTATAGCACAATTGCACATGCACAATCACAATCGCAATCGCAGGGCTCTCCAGAGCAGGCGCAGTCTCTCCCCAGTCAGCAGTCAGTCTTGATTGAAGATTGTTAGAGGTGACCAGGGGTTTTAGGAGGGACCAGGCTGGAGACTGGGAAATGGGCAGCTAGGTTTGATGGCTTGAGTTTTTAGACCTTGGGGAAGTCGTGGCCTAATGGTTAGAGAGTCGGACTCGGTTGCGAGTTCGAGTCTCCGGTCCGGCAGGAATTGTTGGTGGGGGGAGTGAATGTACAGCGCTCTCTCCCACCTTCAATACCACGACTGAGGTAGCCTTGAGCAAGGCACTGAACTCCCAACTGCTCCCCGGGCGCCGCAGCATAAATGGCTGCCCACTGCTCTGGGTGTGTGTTCACGGTGTGTGTGTGTGTGTTCCTGTGTGTGTGCACTTTGGATGGGTTAAATGCAGAGCACTAATTCCTAGTATGGGTAACCATCCTCATACTTGGCCACATGTCACGTCACTCACTCTCTAATGCTACACTTGATTTAATGTCACAAATGGACTCTTATTGTGAAGTGTTACTATTTCATATCAACAGTCATACTTAAAGATGGATGATATAAAAGACAACACACAGGAGGCATTCAATTCAAGTGGTGATCCAAAAAACTTTCTTTAATACAAAAAAATAATAATAATAAATTAATCACCAAACAGGCAAAAGTTCACTTCAAGAATGAACAGGTTGTTTGAAGTTCTGCATTTCTGATTTGTCTCTGTTGGCTGCATGAACATTTTATTTTAAAATGATATGAAAACATGTACTGTAGTGTACTGTATACACCTCTTTTTGATATTTGTTTTAAATCCTCATCTGAAGTGTCCCACTCTGTGTCAAAAAAATAAAAAACAGCATAAGGCATCAGTGAAGGCACATAAATATTATCTTGAGGGAAGTTGGGGTGTGGAGGCTTATGCTCTTGATGCTTCCTCAATGTCGCATGATATCCCACTGTACCGGTGCAGCTATAATGGAGGCAGGACCATTATGATGTAAGATGACTGCTCCTATGCCAATGTTGGAGCCATCCACTTCAACAATGAAGGGTAGAGACAGATCAGGATGGTGAAGTCAGGGCTAATGGCATATCCTAGGAAAGTAGGGGTTGTGATGTGAAACTCGCACTTCTTGGTTTTAAAAATCAGGTGGTTGTTTTAGAGGTGATGGACAACTTCTCTGATGTGGTTGATGTGATCTTCCAGAATAGTCAAAAATAGTCAAAAGAGCTCATCCACATGTCTCAATTTCTTATAAACATTATAAATTATCTCTCCCAAATAAACCTCATAATTTGAGCTGTCATTCACATCCATAGCACAAACAATGTAGGACAAGTGCAGCACTATGATGTTTGAATATATAATCAAGCCAATATCCTAATAATATATTTAAAAATAGGATCAGTATGTTGGCTTTGTTGTACTATGATATAGAATGTTAGTTATACTACCCACTCTTATACTTTTTTGCATCAATTAATTAAGAACCCATGCATTCTGTAGTAAAGTACATTACTAACAACAAAATATAAAATATTTATATGATATACCATGCTTACCTTGGAATATCAGGCAAATACCATGGTACGTGGATATGGTAGGCATGGTATTTACATCTGATTCCATCACAATAGTCTATTTTTTCATATGTATCTCGGTTATTGAGTATTTATTCAGTCTATACTCACATCACAAGCATTATTATAAAATTTTAAGGAATAGATGACCAGCCTCATAACTCTTTCAACATTAATGAAATATAAATGCATAAAATCCTACTAGATGTTTTCCTGATCATTGCTGTTCTTTCTCTGGTACTGTCTGTAGTTTCTAGACAAATCAGAAGATGTTCTCTCGAAGCACCAAGCCAGCATCAACGAGCTGAAGAGGGCCCTGAGGGAGCCCAATAGTAAACTGGTGAACCGGGAAAAGCGTCTGTCAGGGACATCCCCAGGCGACACTCCAGAGAAGAAGGCAGTGAGTATGGAAATACTGCATTATGACAGAATATTGGTACATGTGCTCATACTTGGTTTAATCTCTATTTTCTTGTTTGACTGCAATCATCATGTATATGTGCATCATGCTGTAAACATTGTATTGATTGTGTTTTCCCTCAATTGACAAGGAAAAGCCTTATTGTCAGTTCAACTCTTACACCTTTTGGAGCAATTTTGCGTTGACTAGTCTGGTAAAGGTAAAAAGAGAAAGTATTATGTGGTGTGGGTGTAGTGTTTATTGCCAAACTAATTGTTGTCTGCTGATACAGAGATTTTTGTTTTACCGGAAATAATGGATTTGAGATGCAGGTCATGTTGCTTTAACATTCTAATTTGTAATGTTTTATATTCAATTATGTTCATGCATTTTGTTGTGCTATTGTATTTTTAATGATTGCCCAAGTCATTATTGCTGCTGTGTTTTCATGACGCTGATTCATGCATTCATGTTTGTTTATATGCTGTGTTAAATCCCATTATTTATAATAATTTTATTTGTATAGCTATTTCTTTTATCTTTTTTATTATTTTTTTTTCTTTCTACATCTTAAATTACTCTTTAAATGTTCATAATATTAGATGATTTCTGGTTTATCCTCTTTTTTTCTTTTCTGTTGGTCTTGGAACTGGCCATCTATCAGGAGGCTGTTGGTGCAGGGGTAGGGGAACCTGACAACAGCCTCTCGGTGGAGGGCTTCATCCAGAAGACTCTAGTAACTTCACCTGAGGTTCCTTTGACATTTAAAATTCACTAATGGTTACTGGTTTGATGACAAGTTAGAGAACTAACATTTTTAATTTATATTATTAAATAGGACTCTGAAGAATGGGTGTTACTCAACTATGAAATGGAGGAGAAAGGAAAGCACAAAGCTATTACACCTCCAACTCCTCTGGTCATTGATCCCCTTCCAAAGGAGGAGACAGAAAAACAACAGGAAATTACCAAGATGACACACATTGAGCTAATTAGAGTGGACAGTGATGAGACACAATTGCACATGAAGACTTTTGCATCCTCAAACATATCACTAATGGAAAAGTCAGGTGAATCTAAGGAAAATATCATCACAGGGGAAGATGTCACAACTAAGATTAAATCTAAATTGTCTCATGAAATATCAAAAAAAGACCCTACACCACTTGCTGTGTCTCGACCTAACAACAAGAAGAATACCATTACGGACATCATGGAGGAGACTTCTCAACATAAAGTCGGAAGAGAGAAAAGACCTCAAAGCTTAAACTTGGGGAAGTTGAGTGACTTTGTGTATGAGACAGAAGCCAAAGATTCAAACATCACACATGATAGTGTAGAGTCTGATGAGGACAATAATGCTGAACTTATAAAGGCAACTGTGATCAGTCATCTTGAAAATTTCAGCTCAACAACAGACACATGGTCATCATCTATGCCTGAAAAGCTAAATCAGCTAGCCACAAATACATATGCTGCACCACTACTTAGAGAAAGCACAGAGTTTGACAGAGTAGTGGAAAAAGACATGCAGATTCCCAATCAGGGAGCCATAAAGATTATGTATGAAAGTTTGCATGATGCAAGAAAATCTGATGGTGCAATAAAGTTTGTAGAATGTCAAGAGCAGTTATCCAACGAAGTGAAGATTATGAACACTGAAGACAAACAAGAACACCAAGTTTCAGTCTGTGGCCCTGGCAAAGATGAGATGAAAAGAGTCAAGACTGATATCAGATTTGAAGTCATGAAAGTCATCATGTTTGATCATAGCGAGAACGAAGCAAAATCTGGCAAAGCAAAGAAGAAAGAAATTGAAGAGTTGGGTCTTGAAAAGAAGATAAGCAATTTTGAACTGGAGGAATCTGCAGGAATCCAACTGGCCATGGAACTGAGAAAGACCAGCCAGAGATTAACTAGACATGTGAGAACAGATATAACAAGAATTGTTCCATTAAAACCTGAGAGAATGAGCCAAGGCTACAAAGATGATCTAGATATTGGTCAAAGCTCTGAACTAATGAAAGGAAATTTTAAAAGATATAGTATGAATGAATCTTTTGTGAGACACTTTGACCCCTGTAAATTCGAGAGCAGGGACACTAGCTATTCCCATGCAAACTGCACCACAAGTCTAGTGAAAGCTAATACAAGTCAGGAGTTATCTTTAGCTATGAAAGACATCTGTTTGTGCTCGGAGCATCAAGTGATAAAGTGTCTTGAGAGTTCACCAAAGGAAAGGGGTATAAGGAATGAAGACATCACAAAACATACCAGCAGAATAGTCCACAGAGATCTTCTGCATACTGATGAGGGAATTTCAGAACTTCACTTCTCCAGACACACAGTCAACCAAAAAAATACCCCTCCAACACCTCCAGTCAAAACAAAGAAAGCAAGAGAATCAGGTCTATTTCTGCGCAATAGTTGCAATTTCAGCAAAGACCCAACTCTTGAAGCCAACAAAAAGAACCTTCCGGTAAATCAACATGGCATTTTTTAAATTTTCAGTCACTGGACAATTATTGCATGAACTTCAGATTGATTCACACATTCATTGTTTTTCTTTTTATGATTTAAACATACTTGTATTTACAGTACATGTAAAATCATACTGTTTGCTTGCCCATGAGGAGAGGGGTTAGAGAAACCTACAATTTAACCATTAATGAGTAGTTTTCTGTTTAATATGCAATCAACTACACCAAAAAATATCTATTTATATTAAAACTATTTCATCAATGTTTATAATTGTTGGAGGTTAAATGTTTTGGCCATTTGTTTTGATAGCCCATTTCTTCATAGTAAATTTAGTGAAATTACATTGTACCTTTGAAAATCTTTGAAATACTAACAGTAAACAGCCTGTGCATTCAACCCTTAACAGAACCTTTTGTGGTGAATGTCATATTAAATAATGAATGCTGCATGATGGGTACACTAAAATCTGCTATATTGCATAGGAGATTACCAGTACTGCTACCAGTGTTGGTTGAACATGGTACTGCAATATAATGTGTGTGTGTGGAGGTTTAAACATAAATGCAAAATAATGGAATAAATGCAATATATATATATTCCCATAATGCACTGGTGCAAAGACTGTTAGCTTAACATGCTAACATTCAAACTCTATTGACATCAGTTGTGAGCAGTGTGGGCAGTAACTAGTTACTGTAATATTACTTTACTAATGACTAAGCTTGGAATATGGAAAGGCTTACATTCAGGGGATGTAAATATAGACATTCCACATCCCTCTGATCCCCATATAAATTATATTACTATATAATTAAAAATCTTATGAACTTATGTTATTTATTTTGATAAAATACTTAATGAAATATAATCATATGGGTAACAGAGAAATTGTAGCTACAATTAGCTTCAAGCTACACATGACAATTAATACAATACTTTTACTTAAAAGTCACTATCAGTCACCATTGAGTGTTTGTAAAAAAATAAAAAATAAACTTCTGACTGCGTTCCAATGTAGATTTTGGTCAAATGATGAGGCAGAAATATATTGTTAGTAACATTTTAGAAGAACTTTATGGGGAAGATACACAATTACAACTTATGTGGAGTGTGAAGTAAAAGTAATCTAACTGTCATGAATCCGGTCCATGAACTTCCGTCTGCTTACCATCAGAGACCCTTTCCATTACATTGACTCTCGCACTACACAAACTGTTGCAAATCCCTGACTACATATCCCATCATTCATTGCACTGATTGCACACAGCATTGATTGCACACAGCTGTTTCATATTACTCACTCACTATTTAACACTCACTCAAACAACAATTCTCTGCCGAGTATTGTATGCGCTTATCGCAAGCAGTGATAGCTACTTTACAGAGCCCTCGTTAGTTTCCCAGCCCAGCCCAGCCTAGTCTTGCCTTGTCTGTTTTCCCGGTTTCTGATCTTTGCCTGTTTTCCTGGATTTATCCCCTCTAGTCTCGCCCTTTTGATTCTGTTCGCCGATCGTTGACCTACGCTAGCCCTAGGATTATTCTTGTGTCTTACCCGCCATATACCTGTTTGCCATTGTTTGACCCTGCCTGTGTTTCTGACCTCTTCTGCTTTAATAAAAGCTTGCACATGGATCCGCACGTCTCACGTCTTGTCAGCCCCGTTACAGAATACTCGGCCACACAAGGATCCAGCAGCTGTTCAAGTGTACATTGGCCAGGTATGGACACGGCAAGAATTTTATTAGCCCTTAAACAGGGTCCACGATCATTGGAGAACCATATTCGAGAGTTTTTAGCCATCGCTCACTATTCTGATTTACCAGACTTTGGATAGAGTTTTTCTGCGATGGCATAAATCAACCTCTTAGGGCTAAACTTTCATCCACGGGTCCACGTTCATCACTCGCTCAGTTTATGGATTATGCTTTGTTGATTGTCGGATCTTTGTTTACTGTGGGTGTCGCGGAGGAAGAACGCGACACGGTGTCTGTGACTGAAATGGCAGCTGTACTAGAGCACGCTCACAAAATGGAGGCGACAGCGGAGCCTGATCGCAAAATGGCGGACATAACAGCGCCCCGTTATGTCACAACAGATCTTCCTGAGTCAAGTCTAGTCACCGTTGATCTTCCTGAGTCAAGTGTAATCACAGTTGATCTTCCTGAGTCAAGTCTAGTCACAGTTGATCTATCTCTCATCTGATCTGCCAGAGCCTCGTCACATCTCAGCCGTTCATCCAGAGCCTCGTCACATCTCAGCTGTTCGTCCAGAGTCACGTCACGTCTCGGCTATTCATCCAGAGTCTCGTCACATCACAGCTGATCATCCAGAATCACGTCGCATCACAGCTGATCATCCAGAGTCATGTCACGTCCTGTCTGTTACACCCAGATTCTCAAGGTCAGCCCTTCGGTATCCCAGTCTGGTATCCAGTTTGAGGGATGCACCGCTGGTGTCTGCACGTACAGCTGTTATCCCCAAACCCACTCACTCTAACCCTTCTGTTCATGAATTCATTCCCCTGTCTGCAGCACTTCCCATATGGGGGGGTTGCTTTATGGTGTATCTGGGCCGCGTACTCCACCGCCGATATGCTAGAGGCAGCGGCACCGGCTACAACATCTCCAGAGGTGACGGCTTATGCTCCAGAACCTCTCAAGGTAGCGGTGTCTGCTGCTGTGCTCCCAGAGACCATGGTATCCGCTACAGTCTCTTCAGAGGTGACGGCGCATGCTGTAGAACCTCCCGAAATGGCGGTGCTCGCTTCAGCTCCTTGCGTGGTGGTGGCGCCCAGCAACGCACTTTCAGCCTGTCCTGTTCCGGCCAAGGAGGTCGTCTGGGAACTCTCCTGCTCCGCCGGCTCTGCCTCCGTCCCTGGTCTCTCCTATCCTTGGATCTGGCCCTCCGTCCCTCCCCCTGTTCCGCCTCCGCTCCACCGCCCACCTGGATCGCTTAGTGTTTGGAGCGTCTGGAAGCCGCTCCTTTGGGGGGGGGGGCTCTGTCATGAATCCGGTCCATGAACTTCCGTCTGCTTATCATCAGAGGTCACCCTTTCCATTACATTGACTCTCGCACTACACAAACTGTTGCATATCATCCCGGACTACCTAACCCATTCATTGCACTGATTGCACATAGCACTGATTGCACACAACTGTTTCATATTACTCACTCAAACAACCATTCTCTGCCGAGTATTGTATGCGCTTATCGCAAGCAGTGATAGCTACTTTACAGAGCCCTCGTTAGTTTCCCAGCCCAGCCTAGTCTTGCCTTGTCTGTTTTCCCGGTTTCTGATCTTTGCCTGTTTTCCTGGATTTATCCCCTCTAGTCTTGCCCTTTTGATTCTGTTCGCCGATCGTTGACTTACGGTAGCCCTAGGATTATTCTTGTGTCTTGCCCGCCATATACATGTTTGCCATTGTTCGACCCTGCCTGTATTTCTGACCTCTTCTGCTTTAATAAAAGCTTGCACATGGATCCGCACATCTCACGTCTTGTCAGCCCCGTTACAGTAACTAGTACTAGTGTAACTAATTACTGTTGCCAGATAGTAATAAATAATAATATTAATTTTGAAAGGAGTAACTAGTAACGAGTAATAAATTAAATTTTTGAAGTAACAATCCCAACACTGGTTGTGAGTCAAGTCTTCCATACGCTTTGTGTGAGTAGTGCAGTTTGTGACACATGGAGTTGCTCCCTAAGTAGAACATTCTAAATTAGTCCCTTAAGAGTTTTTTTGTCCAAAGACTGGATGTAGCTGCCAATGTAGGTAGTAGACAGTTCTCTAGGTTCTAGAATTAAGTCATTGTGCTGATATTAACCCAGAAAATGGGTTAATGGGTTTTCAATAGGCAATGTTACTCAAAACTGCATTTTGTTCTGTTGAACCAATTAACTGTTAAACTTATGTTACTAAATGTTTACTTTCTTGTAAGTTTGTCATTTGGATCCTTTATTTTTTCTAGTATGGTTGTTTTTATCAGATCCTGAAAGCTAGACAACTTCATGATTATTAAATACTAATTTAGTTAAGTCTTTGATTATTTAAAATTTATTTTAAAACTAGTTGATTTATTTTTAAACCCACTAGATTATGTGAAGAACCCCAGCATGTTAAATTAGATTTCTATGTTTTTATTATCTAAAATTAAGTCAAGAATCACATTTTAAGAAGAGAATTTTATAGTCACTTACAAAGTGATTTAAATGAGTGTGTGTGTTTAGGTTGCAATGTATGTCTTTCTTTCCTGGTGTGTAGCTTTAGTAACACAGCTAACTTTAGACTGTTTCTCTCTCTTTCTTGTTCTGCTTTTCCTTTACAGGAGCCTCTGTCCACTATTTCTCTTCTTGAAGACCCACAATATGCTGTTAAGGTGTCTCATTCCACACTGTTTGCATGTTCTTGCATGTTTTTTAAAAATGCTTAATTTTCTACTCAGGCTCTTTTAACACCAATATAACAACATTAAAACCATGCTTTCGAATGCTTTCTAGCTATTCCGAGTGACAAGTTTACTGTGCTTGCTCCAACGGCGGTTAGAATAATTAGAAAATTAGAATGACATCTGAAAGTAGTTGTTGTTTGTGTAACCTTTTAAAAAGGTGACCCAATTCAAAATCATGCACATTGTCTTCATTCACTTCATTTTTTTTCTTCTACAAACTAGACATGTGCCGGTATTTGGTATTATCGTAGCCTATTTTGCTGTAATGAACATGTAACGCATTGTTATCATGGGCACTTAAATACCATGAATAATTCTAGATGCCCTATTATCTTAATTGTAATTTTTTTTTAGAATGTACATTAGCTTCTTTTCCATTAACCAGTTAAAAATATTTCAACAAAAATGGCAGATGGGCTGAATGAAAATGCAAATTCACTCTCTGACAGTAGGTGGCACTTATAGAACAGCATAAATACAGCAGTTACTACTGTTACCTAAAGCAGCGTTGTACCATTTTCTGTTTCTGACACCAGTTTGTCTTGCAGAAGACAGGAAGTTAAACATTATGTAAATGTTTGAAAAAAGCTATTCAGATTTTTGTATTCTCTATGGTGTTTCTCAGACAACTTAAAACAACTTTAAACATTTGTCTACACTTCTACATTCTAATGTACTTAAGTTCTGTGGTAGTACAGTCCTGGTTTATTGTGACAAAATCTTCACAGTTATAGTGATATAAAAATTTGAAACCGTCACATGCCTACTGCAAACCATATGATAATTTTTACCTGTTGTAAGAATAGAATGTATCAACATATATGATCTCATGACTGGATCATTACACTGGATCATTTCACTCAAGCATTATAAACAGCCCAAAAGCACGCCCATGATTTCTTCATATCTCCATCATTACTGTTTGTTTCATTCATATGTGATGTAGAAAAATGCTGCCCCTTTTCTTTCTTCAACAACAGCAGCCTCACTCTGCCCTGGAGGACGACTATAATCGTGAGTTTGCTGGCTTGAAGGACACCTACCTGGCCATCGAGAGGAAATGTTCAAGTATGACTGTCAGCTCCATTTCAAACCTGGAAGCTGAGGTGGATTTCACTGTCATTATGGACTTACACAGTGGCGTGGAGGAATTTTCTAGAGGCATGACTGAGCTGGTTGAGAAGGACAAAGTAGAGCTGGGCAGGGAGAGTTTTGACAACACTCCCTGGTCTCACTCCACCTGTCACATGAATTTGCATGATGTATCATCTGGAAGAGAACATTTCCTTGAAGGTTGTGGTCGTCAAGATATAGAACCTGTAAGGGCGAGTTTGTATTCCATAAACAGGTCAAAAGAGGAAGAGATCTACAGAATTGTGACATTCATTACATATTCACTACATTATCTTATTGCAAATTGTTTTGTGCCTTTTTTCTGTCAGTGAATATCATTTATGCTTTGGTAACCTTTTGATTTGTTATTTTAAATTATTTTCATTCTACTTCATTGTGTTTATTATTTAATAATAGGAAATTCCTAAATCAAAAGGTCATCCACAACGATTCAATCATAGGAGAGTTTGTCCTACGATTCAATCATAGGAGAGTTTGTCATAGGAGAGATCTCCTCCACGAACTGGAGGAGATTTTCTGAAGTGAAGACTGCAATAGCAATAATAAATCCATTGAAAACATTTGGATTTTAATTTAAGGCCCCTTGTAGTATAAATGTGAAATTTACCCATTGTGCAATAAATAAATAAATATCAAATTAGTTTATGGGTATGGTTATCACTAATCTTGCCTATGTTTAAAATGATCAAATAAAGACTGATTAATCTGTATACCATACAGAAATTATTCAGACCTCAGAACCCCATAATGACAAAAGTAATTTTGCAAATTCATTATAAAAAGTAAAAACTAAAATATTACATTGACTTAAATATTAAGACCCTTAACTCAGTACTTAGCTAAAGCATATTTGAGAGCAATTACAACCTCAAGTCTTTTTGGCTATGATGTGACACCTGGATTTGAGGATTTTCTACCATTGTTCTGTACAAATCCTCTCAAGCTCTGTCGGGGTAGATGGATACAATGTGTAGACATCCATTGCTTTTTAGCTAATTCTGAGGAAAGTGTTCAGTCTGGGCACTTTTCTATAAAGCCCAGAAGGGTGGAGCTTTGTCATTTTTTTTGTTTTATTTATGTTGCACCATACAATACAACATGCATTGTCCAAGGTGCTTTACAGCAGTACAATAAAAAAGATGTACAAACAAGTATAATAATAATATAGATTCGAAATTCACATAGCATCACAAAGTACATAATATTTAATTCATAAAATAACCTAACCACAAAATAAATAAATTGAAAAGCAGGAATAACAATTACATTTTAATTTTAGACTAAAAATATAGATACAGTGGATGCTGATCTAATGTGTAGTGGTAGACTATTCCAAAGATTAAGACCAGCCGCCTCAAACACTCTACCCCTGTATTTCAATCTGCTTCTTGGCACCTTTAGTAAAATTTGATTACCGGATCTAAGTGATCTAGGTGACTAATGAATTGAAGGAGGTAGAAGAGATATAAGCGAGCAAGGTTATTAATAGATTTATAAACTAAAATGTGTACTTAATCAAATACAATAATCCCAGTGATTTAGATGCAGGAAATTCAGGGACATCTAATTCATTAGATCTTTAAAATAGGCTGCCATTGTCTCAAGCATTTGTATCTCCTTTTTTTAATGGCAAGTAAATTTGGGTGTCATCTGCATAACAATGGAATGATACTCTGTGTTTTCTGAAAATATCACCCAGTGGAAGGATAGAAAGAATCAGCTGAATCACTCACGCTGTTTTCAAATGACTGATTTAATCTGATAGTTTGTGTGGATTTATTTACTCATCTAGCCTACATGCTCTATTGAATAAATGTTTGCAGGAATTTCCCTCATTATAAACGCGAAAGTTGATTAAACATAATTCTATTATCCAGAGATTTGAGAAGAAAAAAAACATGACTTTTCCAAAACTTTTCCAGGCCTGGAAATTGCTGTTTTAAAATGTCATGATTTTTCATGACCGTAAGAAAATGCACGCTCTTAATCACGTAAGCTGGTCCTCCATTGTGCGAATGCTCTGTTACCTCTTCCTCCTCTAATCACATGCTGGATCCGTCACCCCGCTTTGTTCCGGGACCTCGTAATTTACAAATTAAGCACTGCAGTGAATGAATAATTCATGATAGAAACAGATGATATAGCATGAGATGACAAATTTGTGAGTAAACATTTTAGTAATTTGTAGTAAAATAAGAAATAAATGCTTTACATAATTGTGGAGACGTATCTGGGAAACTCGAAATAGGAGGACTGACAATAGCATTTATGGTCAAAAAAATTATATTGGGTTTATGATCAATGTCTGAAAAAATATTTATTATTAGCTGCTCTCTGTCACGAATCCGGTCCATGAACTTCCCTGCCTGTCTTATGACCACGTCTCTTGTCTTCTCCAAATAAAGCTTTGCATATGGATCCGCACGTCTCACGTCTCGTCAGCCCCGTAACACTCTCATAGTTCTCTGGAAGTCCTGAATTTCATAGGAAATCAGAGTTTCTCTTTTGAATGGTCGTTACGTAACACGCTATGGGGAAACTCAGGGAAGCCTGATTTGTTCAGGTTTGTGTAGCTACACGTACCAATGGCGCTTCAACCCACCAAAAGGAGTGGGTTATATAGACTTATATAAGTCGGCTCTGTGTGTCATTTCATTAGAATTTTTCTCCTTTAGCGTAAAGATCGTCTCCTCACTGGACTCTGATGCAAGAAACAAGTAGCTCGAAGCCTGCTACTCGCCGAAGAGCCCCGGCAGCGGGAAGACACTCCTCATAGAATCTCTGCTTAGAATGGTCGGCTCCAGAAGAGCCTGCCCGCAGCCGCTTAGACGAACGATGCCCTCTGGGCCATTGTCAACGACCCTCCCACCAGAGACCAGCGCTGTTTTTCCTGGAAGTTCATGATGAACTTACCAAGGCGTGGCGCGGGGGTTTGAAAAACACCTCACCTGTTTCAGACTGGCGTTCCGTTGGGACTGACCTCCAGAAGGAAGGTAGTCATGACAGATGCCTCCAACTCGGGTTGGGCATTCCTGCCAGCCTTAACCCTCTGGGGTCAACAAGAGGCATAGACTTAAATTACTATCATACAGATAAGAGCAATACATCATTCGAATCTGTAAAGGGTCTACTTTTATTTGGAAACACTCATAATAACAACAAAATGCTGTGCTTTTGTAAAATAGAGAAAACAAAAAGGGTGCACTTTCTGCTGTCTTGGTCTCTGTGAACTACTTTCTGAAACGCGTCACAAAAATGAAATTCAGTGAATACTTGACACACAGACATGAGATATGTCTATAGAAAGCTTGAAATGTCTGCTTTTAAATGAAGTCATGTTGAAAACAAATATTCTCTGATAAAGTAATCCATATGAAATGGCGCAATGTGCACTATTCATATGGTAATCAAATGGCCATCGTGGCAAATCACGCTCTTGTGGCTGGCTAGTCAGTCGGCAAAAAATGACCTTGTCGTTAAGTTCCTGGGGGGAGCTTAGAGATTGAATCCACCTCGTACTCATATTGTGCTGACGTGGGAATTATCCATAGTCCTTAAGGCCCTACGGGGCCCTCCCTTTGAGCCCCTCCAGTCAGCTGACTTATGGCCCCTGTCACTTAAGACCGCCCTCCTTTTGGCTTTAGCATCAGTCAAGCGAGTGGGGTGATAACTAGGGATGGGGAGTCGACTCCAAAAGAGATGATTCCTTGACTCTGAATAGCCCAAGAGTCGGAGTCGACTCCAGCAGTGGAATCGACTCTTGTTGTAGCTAATACAATCTTTCATAGACATCGTGAAGTGCAATATATTAGGTTATTAAATGTATTTTACTACTGTAGCCTATAGATTTAGGCCCTATATATTGAGATGCTCAAAGAAGTGGAAAAACAGGTAAACACAGCCTAAAGTCTACTTTTCTTATGTTAAAAAGTCATAGGCTATCACAAACGATGTATGTGAAAGGGGTCGTGAGTCGGATAGTGGGAGCTGTCGCAGAAACGACCTTTTCACATACTTTTATTCTACGTGATAGAAATAAATAACAGCCATGGTAAATTTAGTTTGTAATTTTACATGCTTCTGTGATAGCTTTGTAGTTTAATTTATATTTTTTGTTATGCGATGTTATGTTTAATGCAGTCAATATAAATTTGGTTTTCCATGGTTAACCTATAGGCTATTCCTCTGGCATGAAGCACTGACTGACAGTATTCACTAGGGATGTTCGATTCCAGGTTTTGTTGTGTTGTGTTCAATCATTGAACTAACTTTAAATCATTAAAAACTCACATAATAAACAATAATAAACAAATCAATAAGTGTACATTCGTATGTAGCCTATTTTTGTATGTATTGTATTTATTGCTGTTTAAGACAATGCCTTTAGCACCATCCTCTGACCATTATAATGTGACTTTGACGAGAGGGGCGGGGCCGAGAGCCGTGGGAACGGAGCGAGGCCGGTGGAGTAAATGCTAATGCGCGACACCTGGGCCACTCACCGGTCTCGAGTCCCACGGAGGAGCTCCGGAAGGATAAAAGGAGGAGTGACGACAGTGTTGAACGAGAGAGGACCAGGCCTGGATTTTATTTTGTGTTTTGGTTCTGTTTGTGCGCGACAGTCGTCCGCAAGGGGCTGTCGTGCTATTTTGTGTTTATTTTATTTTATTAAAGTGTTTAAATGTTCGCCGGTTCCCGCCTCCTTCTTCCCGAACTACGAACTTTGTTACTGTGACAGATTCATTCTTTCTTATTTAATTCTGACACGATCCACCATGGCTTTTTTTCGTGGCTTTTCCCTCTGTAAAATTAGGTTTCGGCAAAAGCTTACAACATTGATAGCACATTAATGTCACTGCTAAATTGGACAGTCACGCTAAATGTAGTCGAGGAGTCGATTCCATTGACTCCTATGGTGGAAACCTGGAATTGAACACCCATAGAACACCCTGAGTGATAACTGTCAGTCAGTGCTTCATTCCAGAGGAATGGCCTACTCCTGGGCTTAAGTTTTAGTTGGTGACATCTGTGCGGCAGCCGGCTGGTCTTTGCCGTCTACCTTTGCCAGATGTTTTAATTTGGACATCCCTGCCCTTCAGACATGGATTTTGTGCTAATTTACCTAACCCCCTTTATTAATGGAGAGGGTTTTATTTTGGAGACCCCAGCCTGCTGGCTTCGGTCTTATGATTGGCTCATGCCTTTTAGGAGCCCTCATTATGGGCGCACTGGGGCAGGGCTCGCAGAGCGGTTTTGTTCTGCAAGTCAAGTCAAGTCACCTTTATTTATATAGCGCTTTTAACAATACATATTGTGTCAAAGCAACTTTACAGTATTAAATAGAAAAATAGTGTGTCAATAATGCAAAATGACAATAGTAAACTCTCAACAGTAAATAGTTGAAAAAAAACTCTCAATAGTAAAACAATAGTAAATTCTTTCAGTTAAAGGCAGTTCATCATTGAATTCAGTGATGTCATCATCCAGCTCAGTTCAGTTTAAATAGTACCTGTGCAATCGTCAACAATATCGATGGATATTAAGTGTCCCCAACTAAGCAAGCCAGAGGTGACAGCGGCAAGGAACCAAAACTCCATTGGTGACCGAATGGAGAAAAAACTTTGGGAGAGACCAGGCTCAGTCGGGGGGGCAGAAATGTGTAATATTAGAAATGTGTTACCATGTTATGTGTAAGCCAGGTTAAAGAGATGGGTCTTTAATCTAGATTTAAACTGACAGAGTGTGTCTGCCTCCCGGACAATGTTAGGTAGGTTATTCCAGAGTTTGGGCGCTAAATAGGAAAAGGATCTGCCAGTTT